CGGTGTTTTTTATTACTTTGTATTATTCTCTATCGTATTATCTTTGTAAAACCAAAAATCGCATGTCTCTATCCCTATCACAACATTTGCTATGATCGTTTGAACAAAGGCCTGCCACAACATTATTTGTATGATCCCCAAGCAGAGACAGAATTACACACAGATGCGTGTAAGGTTGGCGTAGCTGGTATTCTGCTACAACGCAGTAACTGTGGTATACTCAGACCTGTGGCCTATTTTAGCCGTCAGACATCTCCAGAGGAGCAAAATTATTCCTCTTATGATTTAGAAACTCTTGCAGTCGTGACATCCCTACAAAAGTTTAGAGTTTACCTCATTGGAGTAAAATTCAAAATTGTAACAGATTGCAATTCATTACGTGCGACATTTCAAAAAAGGGACATGTTACCCCGCGTTGCCCGATGGTGGGAACATATGCAAGAGTATCACTTTGATATTGAATATAGAGCAGGATCTTCTATGGCACACGTTGATGCGCTTAGCCGCAACCCAATTGCCGGAAATGACATAATGGATGTTAGGAATGTAGGTGAGGAAAGCTGGCTTGTAACAGTTCAGAACGCTGACTCCGAAATTCAACGGATAATAAAAATATTAAAAGATTCCAATCTTAATGACGTTATTGACATCAAAAATAACTACAAATTAAAGGGAGATAAACTGTTTAGAATTACGCCTGATGGGGATAGATGGGTGGTGCCTAAGGGAGTACGCTGGCAAGTGGTCAAACAGAACCATGACGACATTGGCCACTTTTCCATTGACAAAACATTGGAAAAAATTAAATCTTCATTCTGGTTTCCCAAAATGAGGAATTTTGTTAAGAAATATGTGACCTCATGTCTCGAATGTGCATATGCTAAGGCTTCAGGGGGTAAGAAACAAGGATTTCTACACCCAATAGCGAAAGTGGACGTGCCATTTGACACCGTACATATTGATCATGTTGGACCCTTTGTGCGTAGCAGTAGAGGCAATATTCATATACTTGTCGTGATTGATGCTTATACAAAGTACTTATACCTTAAAGCCGTTCGAAATACAAAATCGCATACAAGCATTAAAGTTCTCAGAGAATATTTCGCTATATTTGGCGTACCACGAAGGCTAATTTCTGACCGAGGGACATCATTTACCAGCGGATCCTTCAAAAAATTTATGAATGAAAGGGGTATTAAGCATATTTTAAACGCAGTAGCTACACCTAGGGCGAATGGTCAGGTCGAGCGCTACAATAAAATTATTGTAGACGCCCTAACGGCCAAGTGTATAGGTACACCCGACAGTAAATGGGATGATCATCTACCTGACATCCAGTGGGGCATCAATAATACTTTCAATAAGGGGATTAACCGAACTCCCTCTGAGGCACTATTCGGTGTAAGACCAGCAGGCCCTAGCGACAGTAGAATATTGTCTGAGCTCACTGATACTAATCAAACGCATGATACGTCAGGTCCAGTTAGTCCGGACAGAACTAGTATTCGCCAGGAAATCAACACTCACATCGAGTCCTGTCAAAAGAAACAAAAGGAAACTTTTGATAAACGTCGCTGTGAACCTCAAAAATACGAAGTCGGTGATTTGATTAGGATCGAAAGACAAGTGCCTGCTACTGGCCAAAGCAAAAAGCTTGTACCTAAATTCCAAGGCCCTTACAGGATTATAGCTGTACTAGATCATGACCGCTTTCAGGTAGAGGATACTCCTCTTACCCGAAAAGGCAATAGGAAATTTTCTACAGTAGTAGCCATCGACAAAATTAAGCCCTGGCTTAGTTTCAATAGACCTCATGAGCAAGAATTAGATAATTCTAGTGACTCCTCAGAATAGAGCCATTGTAGACAAAAAAAAAATGGTTATAATTTAAGGAAAATATGATTTAAGACTACTTAAAGAATGAGTTTTATAATTTTGCATGAAAATGAATCGTTAATTTTAATGATTATGTAAATAATGATGTTTTTATTTCATGTTGTAATGAAATATATGAGTGAATATGATATACTATGATAAATAAGAATTTAAGTTGATTTTGTACACAAAAGGACAACCCTGGTCCTGCAATAAAATATGGACAACCCTGGTCCTGTAATGAAATATGGACAACCCTGGTCCTGCAATAAAATATGGACAACCCTGGTCCTGTAATGAAATATGGACAACCCTGGTCCTGTAATGAAATAAGGACAACCCTGGTCCTGTAATGATTTAAGGACAACCCTGGTCCTGTACTGAAATAAGGACATCCCTGGTCCTCTAATTAAATAAGGCGAGCTATTTGTGAATGTATCCTTATCTAGTAATTTAGTTTAGTTTTCTTTTTGTAAACGTACGAGGTCATACGACATTAAGGATGGCCGACTGTCATCAATTTGTTATAATTATTAATTATTATCACTAATTTATAATACAAACGCCTATTATTTTGGTTATTTCCGCCTCATTTTACAATTAAAAGTATCTCAATTGACTAAGAGCGAACTGACGTTTTAGATGGCGCCACCACTCTTTTGGTGGGGGTGACAGTTGTCATTTTACCGAAAAGTAGGCAGTTGCTCAGTTCTCTGTTGGTCGTTGAAGTGGTCGGTTGTGCCTAGCAGTGCTCTTGATGCGGTCAGAGTGATATAGTAGAAAGTGTTATACTTACCGTGTGTGTATTGTTCTGTAAGTGTGTGATACACAATATACTCTGGATACAAGTAAGTTATCGTGTTTTTATTTATTTTGAAAATACCTCTATTATTTAAGACTTAAAGCGTAAAAATAGTGGGAGCCATCACACAAGGGAGGTAAGATGTAGCAGGTTTTTTATGAGTCTATTAGAGTTATACATATACATACTCCCAAGCCGCTTTCGGCTACAGTAACTACGACAAAATTCCTTTAGTCCGCAATAAGAGGGCTACGCTGGGCTGCCCTATCATGTGCCCTCACATGGCTACAGCAGCCAATCTTGTTGGTAAACGTGCGCGAACAATGTCGACACGGTAGGAGACCGCTGATGTAGTTGTAAGTGATAGCCGCTGCTGGTCTGGCATTAGAGTTATGTAACATGCCACAGGTCAAAAAACCTATCATTCTGATTATTTTAGCTACTGCATCCTTTCGCGGCTCTATTGCAAGATTGTTATACATAGAGATAAATTGATTAAAGGCTTTCAAAATATCATATTCTTTCTATGCTAAAGCGACTAATTCTGTTCATCAAATACTATTATGGTGTTACTTTTAAGTATATGCAATATTTGAAATAACATCCAGGTAACGTTGTTGTAGTGCTTATTCTATAGGTTTGAATTTCTTTTAAATTTAGCATCACTAAGTTAAATAAGCGTAAACTTTGTAAGGACCGGACACACTGAACCTACTTCTACTGAAAGGTTACCGAGGATCATATTATTGTATTTATTTATTCACTGAATTTTAATGAAGAGAGAAATTAAATTAAAATATTATTATAACAATGAATATTCATAAACGTTATTGTTCAGTGAAAGCTTGGAACGTTTATTTTAGTTTCGCAATTAAATTGGACGTAAATTAAAATTGATAGCGGCTTTTATTAAACATTTCATTCATAAACAAGGCTTATTGAAGTATTATTTTACTAGTATACAAATTAGGCCTTAAAATAATATTTCAGTCATTTGGGACTACGTAAATAATCATTTTCATGGAACTATCAACCGTAAAAATCAATTCACAATGTTACCAATATTAGAATAGACCCCAAAAAACTTCGTAGCTTATTCGTGCAAATATTTTTAGATGTACACGATATTTTTCTAATAAAAGTCGTCCAGGGCCGTGGAAAATTATACAGCTAGATAAAAGGGTATATCAATTATATATGACCAGCGTATCGCGAAATTATTGCTCATTGTACCCCGTCAGGGTAATATTTATCATTTTTATGCTGATGGAAATGAGGTAAATAGAGGTTTGTATTATCTCCGGATTTATTAAGTGGGATGGATAGTGTGGGTCTTTTCATAGGCTGTAACAAAAAGGTTGGCAATATGGGAGATATTGAAAACGTTGTCTTAAGGCTGGGGTTATTACACTAATACTAGGTTGGCTTATAAGCGTGGGTAGGGTATTCGTGGAAATAATTATATTCAGAGGTCAAGAATAATAGAGTCGTAATATTCGTTAAATTAGAATACATTTTGGACATCGATAAGTTGAATTAATAATTCTTAATTGCCGATTGTGGTCTAAATTGAATAAAATATTTTTGATTTTGATTTTAATATGACGCCTATTAGCTGTTGTAGGATTTTGTCCAAGTTTATTTGAAACTTAGTTAATTTGATCACGGAAACAGAACACATACCTAATTATCGTATCGATATGTGGATATATGTGGATATATGGTATCGATTAAAAGGATATTACCATTTCTTCAATAACTTACATTTCGTCTCAATTGTTAAATCCGTTTGAGGAATCACTGATCCTGATAATACAGTTTTTACTAGTTTCCGGGTCAGGAGTCCAAGTTTTTGTGACACTAAAAATTAAAACTAACCCTAGAGTAACATAGTTCTACTTATTACTTAATATTGTAAATTACTGGGTTGTTTAAGTGAATATTTTTTTTAAAATTATTTCAGAGCATACACTTTTACTCTGCCGTCACCACACGGCTACATCTGTCACCAACCCCTACTCTTCCCGCGGGTGTCGTAAGAGGCGACTTAGGGACTACACATCAAACAGAGAATGGGCAGCAGCGCTCTCTGAAAAACATCAATCTTTTAAACTGCGATCTCCAACCCGCCTGCCTAGCGTGGAGATTATGGCAAAACCCTCCACTATAGTGGAGGAGGCTCATAGTCCAGCAGTGGACTGTAAAGGGCTGTTGATGAATTGATGAAATACACTTTTAATGCTCAACTCAAATACTGGTTTTTGGCAGTAATTAATACCGCCTATGTTTCGAAATAGTAAAAACTAATAACTAATTCACTTACTTGATTTTAGATTGTCTCATGAACTGCTGAATCTTCCTCGCGGCTTGGTTTTGACGCCTCTGTGAATATGTCCTCCTATATCGAAATGAAGAATATTAGGTCTCATACAAAATTGCTTTTCTTTTCATAACAGAAGAATCACCAGATTTGAAAAAATAATTCTGGGTTTCTCTTCTGGCTTTTCAGAGATCAAACAAGCTTATGATTAAATTATAATGTTTTACTTCCGTTTCATAACTTTCTGAAGCCCCTGATAGCAACACCTATTCCCTGTCACTGAAAAAAATGTTTGGTTACTGCTTACACAACAAAAGTGACCACCGAACTAAGTGTTAACTATAACCAAACCAAGTCTAGCTTACTACAGAATTATTTGTTTAATTTACACAACATTTTGTTCCTCATAACCAAAGTGTTCCGTGTTCACTTTTGTTGTGTAAGCAGTAACCAAACATTTTTTCAGTTTAGATAAAGTATAACTTTTGATAAAGTTTTCAAGTCTCAAATATCTTATTGATTGATAAAATTACTGGCAAGCATGTAAAATATACATATACCTACTCTTAATATTAACTACTTTACCGCTAAATATCAGACAGCTAAAAATGTTATCAAGAAACGTAAAACTGGTCCTTATACTATTAACAATAAAGGTTCAAACTGCTTACTTGATGGGCGTGGAGGCGAGACGGCGCGCGCGCATGGTGCGGTACCCGCGCTGGATCACCGTGGCCGCCGCGTGCATCTGCTTCAAGTACGCAAACTGCGCAAACGAGGGTAGATTATACTTTTATCTTGTGCATGAGACAAATTATAACCTAAATTAGTTAGGTAGTCTTGAATTTGTGATTGACCTAAAAAGTGACATCACATTTTTTCGTACAATTCTACTACGAATAGGTTCAGCAGCTTAATGAGGGCTATCGTTTTTATACTTAACAGTTGGCAGCCCTGGCGATTGACAGGACCTTACTCTACAGTGGCGCCATCTTGATGAGTGCAAATGCGATAGTCCTCCTACCAGTTTAGCACTCACCAGTTGGTGCCACTGTCTTCGCTACTAGCAAGTGACAGGACCTTACTCTAGTGGCGCAAACTGGTGAGCGCTAAAACGATAGCCCTCATTCAAATGCATTTTGTCGATCGTAGAAATCGCCTGTCAAATAATATTTAGTAATCAAAGAACTGATAAGGTCATCAGCATTATCATCGTCATCAGATCCACTGCAGAAACACAACCCTCTCTATTTTACCATGATACATCCACGGGAAGACTAAGCTTGGCCCTATTTTACTTTGCCGGAAACACAAGGCTAATTTAAAAAAATATTAGTGTCTTAGGCCTGAAACTGCGTTAAGCGGACGCCCGCGCGGTTTCATACAAAAGTCCCCCGCGCGGGTGCCCGCTTAACGCAGTTTCTGCCTTTAGAGAGCTTTGGACTTACGAGATCATATTACACGAATATAATGTAGTTGTGTGAGTAGACTATCGAGATCGGCCACACACAAACGGTGCTTTAAAGTAACATTTCTTTGAACTTTCTTTCATCAACTTACCTGTTTGTACCGCCGGTAGCAGTTCTGTATAGTGATGGCGGCGGCGGCGGCGCGCCGCTGTAACTGCCGGCCTCGGTACTGCCGGTACGCCTTCTGTATCGTGATGGCCGCCGAGTATAGCTCGCGCTGTTCTCGGTCTGGTAGATGAAGAAGATTATGAGAACTATTTAACTGATAGAGAGAGGAGAAGAAGCCTAAGGCCTGCTATACACGGACAGCTTGAAGCAGTTAGTGTCGGCAGCTTCAAGCTGCGACTGCATAGCAAACTATGGAAACAGTTGTAACTGTTCGAGCGGTTCCGTGTACGTAGTGTACTGTTGTTTGCTATGCAGTCGCAGCTTGAAGCTGTCGGTTACTAGCTGCTTCAAGCTGTCCGTGTATGGCGGGTCTAAGTTACGGCAATAGCTACAGGGCTATTTCTTTGGATAACCACAGGGCTATCCAAAGTAAAATATACTCTGAAAAGGATTTTTTTTTGGAATTTAGTCAGATTAAAGAAGTTGGTGGTTGAGTCCAAAAGCTCCTGCACTATTGCAGACGAGGCTGCATTGATTGCGCACCTGTGCAACTTGTAGTAGGGCAATTGGGGAAAAATGAGCCCAGACAATGGAGCTGACCCGTCATAGTATCTTTTATGATAAGCGTCAGATGTGCATGGTGACGCACATAAACTCTAGTTTTAAAGTTTCAAAGCCTACATTACCCATATAGTCGATCACCTAAAATAATTTAACCAAACTTAAGCAATCATCATAATTCACAAACTAAATCATTGCACTGCAATGAGGGCTATCGTTTTTATACTTAACAGTTGGCACCCCTGGCGTTTGACAGGACCTTACTCTACAGTGGCGCCATCTTGATGAGTGCAAATGCGATAGTCCTCCTACTACTTTAGCGCTCACAAGATGGCGCCACTGTCTTCGCGACTAGCAAGTGACAGGACCTTACTCTACAGTGGCGCCAACTTGTGAGCGCTAAAACGATAGCCCTCTTTGGAGTACTTCACTAGCTTTCTTTGCATGTGTATCTCAATAACCACAACAATAACACTCACTAATAAAAAAAAAGGTAGAACTGTGGGGTACCTGGAGATAAAGGGTAGAATCATTCTTACCATTTAGTGTAAGACTGGAGAAATGCGTGGTAGCGTTCAGGAACTCCTGCAGTGTAGCAGACGGGGCCGCGTTGATAGCGGGCCTGGGAGACGGCGGTGGGGGCGACAACGCGGACCCGGGAGATACGGATCCTGATGAGGGAGTCGATCCACCGCAATACCTAGAGCAAAAATATGACATTTTCAACTTGGTAAAGTACCTAATAAAACATTTCATCTCAGTGATTGTCACAAAAGATGATATTAGATCTGCAGAAGACAAACCTTATTTTAAATCTTGATAAACTATGTATTTAGTTTTCAAACTTATCCATCATAAATATTAGATCGTTCGATCGTAATATTGCGCTTATAATGATATTGATGCCTTCAATAATACTTAAACAGCGCAGAACAACATATCGACATTGCTAATCGCCTTCGCTTAGGTGACTTCTGGGCATGCAGGTATGCATCTCAAGACTCTTATAGTATCAGCTAGCTAGGTGACAGAGTTTGTCCGTGCAAGTTTTGAGCATAGAGCAAACACTCATGTTAGCAATTTTGTCAACACTATACCTGTAGTTGTTATCGCAGAACTCAAAGCTGAATTCCGTGTTGAAGGTGGTGGCGTTATCAAGCAGCAAGATCATAAGCGTGACAGTATACATAATACTATACCTGTAAGTATTGTCGCAGAACTCAAAGCTGAATTTCGTGTTGAAGGTGGAGGCGTCATCGAGCAGCGGGACCATGAGCGTGTTGTCACTTCCGCAATAGTTTTGTAGTTTTATATGTTCACTAATTTAATAACTTCAACTTTTGAGAATAAAGTACATAATTATGGTTGTTATTAACGCAGTACCTGTAAGTATTGTCGCAGAACTCAAAGCTGAATTCCGTGTTGAAGGTGGTGGCGTTATCGAGCAGCGGGACCATGAGCGTGTTGTCCCCTCCGCAATAGTTTTGTAGTATTGTCCTCTAATAAGAATGATGTTATTAACGTAGTAGGTACCTACCTGTAAGTATTGTCGCAGAACTCAAAGCTGAATTCCGTGTTGAAGGTGGTGGCGTCATCGAGCAGCGGGACCATGAGCGTGTTGTCCCTTCCGCAATAGTTTTGTAGTTTTATATGTTCACTAATAATAACTTCAACTTTTGAGAATAAAGTACATAATTATGGTTGTTATTAACGCAGTACCTGTAAGTATTGTCGCAGAACTCAAAGCTGAACTCATTGTTGAAGGTGGTGGCGTCATCGAGCAGCGGGACCATGAGCGTGTTGTCCCCTCCGCAATAGTTTTGTAGTATTGTCCTCTAATAAGAATGATGTTATTAACGTAGTAGGTACCTACCTGTAAGTATTGTCGCAGAACTCAAAGCTGAACTCGGTGTTGAAGGTGGTGGCGTCATCGAGCAGCGGGACCATGAGCGTGTTGTCCCCTCCGCAATAGTTTTGTAGTATTGTCCTCTAATAAGAATGATGTTATTAACGTAGTACCTACCTGTAAGTATTGTCGCAGAACTCAAAGCTGAACTCGGTGTTGAAGGTGGTGGCGTCATCGAGCAGCGGGACCATGAGCGTGTCCTCGCCGTTGCCCCCGCCGCCCTCGAGCCCGCAGCCCGACAGCAACGACGAGCTTTCGTTCTAAGATCATAATTAATCATGTTACTGATCATTTGACACACAGTGGTTTCATGTCGCGTGCACTCTTAAGGTCACAACATCCACCCGGAAAGGGATCAACACCATATCGCCTTACTCCGCGAGACGAGGCGTTTTCGTTACGGTGCGGATAAGTGTGCGTTGCAGTACAGAGTTTCATACAAAGATTACTGACCACCTCGAGTTGATACGGTTACGATCCGTTTCCGGGTTGATAACTTTGTTTGAAGTTTTTTCTACATTATCTAAGTAGGTAGGTACTGATTAAAAATATACTGAGCAGAACTGAGTGGTTCCTGCAGTAGGTATGCAGTTCCTGGTTTAAACGTCGGCGAGATTTTATACGCAGACTTAAGTTGACAGCTCTTGAACGTCACATGTCACCCGTCCTGCTCCTACTTCAAGCTACTAAGGTGATAAGGGTAAATAGACAATAACTCTTTCATTCATTACACTCTGTCATAATAAATCTTATTTATTTCTTAGATTCCTTTGCGGGTATAGATTCTATACCCGCTAATATTCTATAACTATTGAATACCATAGAATGAAATAAAATATACGTACTTTTATCCTCTCTGGCATCGCAGCGATGATTTGCTCGGCCAACGTGAACACTCTGTCATCCTGCTCCCCTGAAAGTATTTGTGATGTGGAACCTCATACTGAACACTTCTACAATACACTTAAAGAGCAGCATCAAGAAATTACAGAACACATATTTCGATGGCTCCTACGTATACTGTCGTAAGTGAAAAAAATAGATTTTACAGGAGAGCCATTTAAGTGGCCAGAATCATATTTTTGGGTCATATCTTCTGACCTACTGAAACGAATTTAATGAAATTTCACATTTAGCCTTAACATGTAATGCTTTTGCTATTGCTGTTATCAATTTTTATATTTTTCTTATATATTTTGAGACTTTACGCATTGCCCTTTTACGTCGTCATATTTCTATAATTTCATGTATATTGTTCAACGTAAAGAGACTTAAATGACAACGTAAATATAATATTTTAAGCGATTACTCTCTTTATTTATGCATGTAATTATTTTAATTGTTATCATGTGCTATATCAATAATAAATCAGTTAGAAAAAGTTGTTTAATGTATCGTTATTACGTTTAACGCAAATACGCCCATATACTGTGCTCGAGATTTAGTTAGGCCTTTTAATATAATGTGTCATATTTTTAAAAATTATAAATAACTTGAAAAAATCGAACTGCCTAAGGCGGGAATTGAACCCACGATGCCTTAGGCAGTTCGATTTTTTCAAGTTATTTATAATTTTCAAATTAGTTTGAGATGCGACTCTTAACGCTAAAAATTAAATAACTATAACTAATAGACGTAGACAAATAAATTTACATTCGTTTTGTAGAATACCTCAAATACCAATAATACAATGCAAATAAAACATACCTTAACGACCTGGTTTTTCTTGTGTTGGAAAATAACTGAAAAAGAAGTGAAAAAAGTCATGTTTTTTCCTAATTAAATCCATTCTTACTCCCTTAAAATGTATGAAACTTGTATCTGTTTTCTACTTCTGCTAATAGATAATTTTATTGGCTATCGCATGATATAAAATTTTTGCTTATTAGTGTTAAGCTACCCACGCTTTCACTTGTTTTTGAAGGAAGAGGTGAAAACTAAAAATTAAAAACTTCAATCCTCGTAATTTTGCGAGAAATGGGTCAAGCCCCAAATTTGAAGTATTTTCATCGATAAAATTGTCCATAGATTACGCCCTTAAAGTTTGATCACTACAAGTCCGGACACACTGTATAAATGTGTCATAATTTATAAGTAAAACAATTTGCTAAATATTTTCATGGCTTTATTTAAGATTTGGATTATAAAAAATATATATTTATGTAAGCAACTACTCGTATAGATTGACGAATCGTATGATTGGGCTTTATACGTGGCGTAGTTTTGCACATACGCCTATTTGCCTGAAATTTTATTTTGTATCTAATGGAAAAAATTTTTTTTTTCTTACTGACGTTATAGATTAGAGCAAAATGAAATCATTGCTTAAATAATTGGAAAAAGGCGTAAGCGGCAGTTTCGCCTTTATACGTAGGAGCCATCGATTTTAAGGTTGACTTTAGAAATTATATTCATCAAAATGACAATACATCAATAAGTTAAATACCAAATTAATAATTTATATCAATAGCGTATGTTGCATTTAAACAGTGAATGATTTTAACTCTATAATCTTTTGATGCGGATTTCATACACATACAGTTATACTCGTAGCATAGTTACACTTTTGTTGAAATTTCATAAAGTTCATCAGTTTTGAAATCTCTTCTTCAAAAATTAACAAGTATAGGAAACATCTTACGCAATAAATCAACTGTATGAAACTTCAGCAACTTGAAACATCAATAGCTATACATTTGCAACATACAATAACACATAGAAAGTGCTAACTTTTTGTTTTTAATTAGCTTAACAAAATTTTGCATAAAATATTAACATCGAGATATTTTCAGAGTTTAGAGTTTTTAGAAATACAATAATATCATAAACAGCAATGAAATAACAGCGCTGTATTTTTTCCCTTCACATAGCTTGGTTTCTTGTTATAATAAGTACAGCAAAACTACACATAAAAAGCCGTCATAATAAATATTCGTCATGCAAGCAATTTTAGCGTCATGCAGTGTATTATGTTTCGTTTTCTTGATCAGTGTAACATTTTTCAACGCTGACGTCAAGTGTACTGAAATGGAAAAAAAGCCAATCGATTTGATGTGTTTGAAGGTACTGTAGTTGTGGATAGACCAATACGAACCATTCAAAGCGACATCGATTGACAACATCGAGTAAGCTAAACTGAACTTTGTATGGTTTATTTAAAATACAATATGAGTTATCCATAAGAATCTGAATCAGTAATGCAGCTGAAAGAGTTGTTACTGACTCAGATAATTCAGTTTAGCTTAAGGAAACTACAAACACCAACATTGGGGGATCTCCGCTCAATACAGGATACAAAAATACAGAAGAGACTACAAGTGGTCTACCGACATACAGTGTTCACGTTCAGGGCTACAGACTGGCGACAGAAAGGGACAGAGATATACAGACGACTTGTTAGAAGAAGAGGACCGAGCGGCCAGATGCACTACTACAATCACAACATTGAGATAGGAGCGGAGGGAAGCTGCGGCTTGAAATGGTATAGAACAGTTGTATTGTAAATTTCTTAGCCAATTCAGGTTTTGGGTATTGTAATTTATCATCCTGTTCAGGGTTTTGTTGGAGTTTATAACTAGAAGAAATCCAATTTTACAAATAATATGAATAGGTACACGGTTTTGAAGTAGTATTCAAAATTAGTTTCACGTTACTAAAATGTGTGCTATCTCATATTTTTAAAGACTTCCAAAAATGAAAGGCCGATTAGGAGAAACATTAATAAACTCAAAACATTTACGTCAGCAGACAATAATTTACAATTTGTAATCTCATTAATTTTATTGATTCTAGAATTTCCAAACTTCTCCAAAAGTCCAATTTTCAATTTAGCCCCAAGTAACTGCTCAATCATTTCAAGTCATCTGACTTGGTCGTGCGAAATTTTCGTACCATCTATACCGTTTCTCGCCGCGACTGACCTTGGGGCGGCGGCGGGGGCGGGCTGGCGGGGGGCGAGGTGTCCGACAGCGCCTCCACGTCTATGAGCGGGCTGGCCGCGCGTCGCCACGCGGTCTCGCCTGGACAACACGCCGGCTGAGTATGGATAGCGAGGTGGGTTCCTTGCCTTTAGTTATTCAAACGAGGTCTCAACGCCTACTAATACTGCCATGGTTGACGCCTTTTTAGTTACGTAATAAGTCGCGACCACCTCTTAAAATTATGTCAGCCATGGTCCTTCCGTTATAATTATAACTACCTCCACGTCTATAAGTGGGCTGGCCGCGCGTCGCCACGCGGTCTCGCCTGGACAACACGCCGGCTGAGTATGGATAGCGAGGTGGGTTCCTTGCCTTTAGTTATTCAAACGAGGTCTCAACGCCTACTAATACTGCCATGGATGTCACCTCGTTAGCTACATTAGGCTACCTCCTAAATTACGTCAGTCATCATGATCCTTTCGTCATATAGGTAAACCAACACACCGGCAGAGTATGAATAGCGAGGTGGGTCGTGGGTTCCTTGCCTTTAGTTATTCAGACGAGGTACTTTCGCTCGTCTAAACGCCTATTGATACTACCATGGTTGTTACCTCGTTAGTTACATTTTGGACTACTGAGTCGCGGCTACCTCTTTAATTACATCAGTCATGGTACTTTCGTTATATAACCCATAAATTAGACATGAGTTACATCGATGACGTACTACTAATACTGCACGACTGTTCCACGCATTGAAACATACATAATTCGATGGGTGCCGGGAATAAAGCCGCAATAGCCATAGCAGCAGTTTTCCGATTAAGTGATTTTAGTAAACTGCGGGTACCTATATACCTTTTGAATTTTTTTCAGAATTTTATCTTTGAAACTGTCTATGGATATTGAATCGTTATTCCCATTTCATCTATTCCCAATTCAGCATTTAAATTGCTGCATTCCGAGTCTACAGTGCATATCATACGTACATGTGTTTGTTTTTTAGTTTTACACCCTATTATTTCTTTTGAACATTTTACAAACCACTTTACGGAGGAACTCACTTCGCTTGCCAAATGCCCGTAGACGATACTGCCGAACCATATTTCCAAATGCGACCGCAACGATCCAAAACTTACACCCTATTATAGCCTCCAGGCGCAGTGCCGATAAACAAATAATCTTCAGCAAATGAAAGGAACTGCTATGTGACACCAGCAGTTATAATACCAGTTCTTATAGCGACTATTATTACCATATGAATTTTGAAACTAGCACTACGAACAGGGTAAAATTTTGGAAGGAGGATTAGCAGATTAATGATGTTTTGAAACCTTTAATTTAATATCATGGCATGAAAAGGAGAGAGATTAGTTTGGATAAGGATAGGTGAAATTGATTAAAGTTCAGATAACTACTTGATCAACCTTTTGAAAATAGATGAATTTCAACAGGGCTACTTGCTTGCAAAATTGATAACTACACTACAAAAGTACCGATGAGATGTATTCAATAATGATGGAATGAATTTCTAACAATATTATCTAAATATTAAATTCTAAAACTATTTTAGGTGAAAGCAGAATTTTAAAACTGAGTCGCTATAAAAATGGGTATCTAATTAATTTCCAGAGGCTGGAGTGGGATGATTGAATGATAATTGAAATAGTTATGTTCAGCAAATTCAAAATGGGTTGATTGATGACTTTGTAAATAATAAAAAAGACCAAAATTTTGATACAGCTGCATAACTGTTTGGATGAGTCGCTATAAGAGTTGGTATTACTGGTCCCGGTGGAGACTTACAAAGAGCCAAGTCCATGCGTCTCCCGATCTTTGAGTCTCCCAGACTGTCTTCGGAAGTGTCGGAATCAAGAGGCAGTGACATGCTGCGTTCCCACCTGCAAAAGTATTTGAAAACCAATTTACAGATGCAAACGTATCTTTAAACAAACCCATTTTTTTTTTAGGTTTCAATAGCAATTTTGAGTTTTATATCTTACCTAGCTGAGCTAGACTCAGATTTATCGATAGCCGAGCTGGATCTGAACGCGTCCGCCATGTTGATTCCGCTATCTATAGAGGGCCTTTTGACAAGGTTGCTCTCCAAACTGCCCGTTCGCCCTTTCTGGGATAAACTGGAAAGAAATAAAAATATTTCAACATGCAGTGATGATAAGAACCCAAAATATTGAAACGATCATGAGTTTCGAAATTCTGACACCACAAAAGATCATAAATAGCTTTTTTTGGTATTATAAACACTCCATCCCTAGAAGGAGGATATGTTCAGTCCATCACAGCAACGAGTATGGAGTGTCCGAAGCGTCGGGTGATGGCAGCAGTTTGCTTGGCTCCTGCTTCACACTAGCTGAGTCAACCATTAAACAGCTTGCTCTCATGGTAGAAAATTATTCTGTTCAGCAGATCAATGAGTTTGGATTGCGCCAACGCAAGTCAGCTGCATTAGTTCTTGTCTCCTGCTTTATATTGGATCTATCGACTATTTACTTACCTATGTGGCCTCAGAAACACTCCGTCTCTCGGTGGAGGGTGTATCCTGTCCAGCAAGGCAGCTAGCTTGGAGTGCCCGGAGCGCCGGGCAGCGGCAGCGGCCTGTCTGGCACCCGCCTCGCATCGAGTTCCGGCCGACCACCTAGCCAAGACAACAGCTGTTTCTACGTGACCGGCGGCACTTGCCAGCATCTGAAAATAAATACCATATTATGACAATTATTATAATACTTAGTTTAATTGCCACTAAAAGCCAACCAATGAAAGTCAAGATTGTCCCGGGGAATGTTTCATTGGACCCTCAATGAATCAAAATACACGTTGGCAAAGGCGTAAGTAAAATTTTAGACACTACTTTTGCTTTGAAAGGCAATACTATTTAATTAGTTGAGAACTATTTAAATCGGTATACATGAAAATGATACCAGAATAGATTTACTATTGCACATAATCTACAAACTTACCAAAGGCGTATTATTATCAACATCCCTCGCCCCCAAATTGACTTCTTTCTCCAGCGCCAGACTGCTGTCATCCTGCTTCCACCTCAGTAGCGCTGTCGTCAGCTTGGTATATCCTAATGCTGCAGCCAGGTGGAGGACGGACGAGCCATCTTCACCAGGCTCCGTGGTGAAACCCTCGGAAGTACCCGTGGAACGGGCGCTTAGTGATCGACAGAAGGAGACCAGCCGCTCTTCAAATTTTGGGTTCGAGTACAGTTGGACCTCATCTATCTGGAATTGAAGATACATTATATTTTAGTGTGACAGCAGCATATGAAAACAATTTGCTACTACGAGTAAAATCACAAAATAATAAAGGTACCTATTTCGTCTTTATGTTAAAAGTATTTTGGTATGATTGAGATCAGAACCGCAATAAAAAATATTGATGACGTCAGTGTTAGACTGCGCGCCATGGCTCATTGAGATCTAGGTGACGGGTTTCATTGAGCAGTCTCTAATAAATTATTTTTGAGAAAATAAGATCTCTGAATTTTAAGAAAGATAATGCAGTAAGTTTAAAATACCTTAGCTACCAAAATAATGCGTGGCTAACTCTTAATTGAATCCATTCAACATTAACTTACCTGATTGTTGTCATCCATCGGCTCGCTCTTGATCTGCAGCCGTCCATGCAGCCGCTGCAAGCGCTGCAGCAGCGTAAAACGCCTAAAGTCCAGCGATGGCAGCGGCGCGGACGCGGGCGATGACGGCGCCGGAGCTGGACCGGCTTTGTACTCGAATACCACTGTATCAGAGACCACCCGGCCGCCGCGAGCGACTTGCATCGCTGCTAGGCCGGCTTCATGAGCTAAAAATAATGATGAAATAACATATCTCTGGTCTTTTGTGTTATTTTCTTATTCATATAACAAGATCGAGAAGAGCCTTGCATAGGTTGGTTATCTGATTACTTTGGAAGTTCAACATCAACTTGTCTGATATTAAATTCTTCCTCTTGGTACCTATTTACTGTCTTTCATTAATATTTAACTTAACACGAGGAGCTAATGGGACTACTCCAGTATATAATAGTAGTCTTTGTGGGACTATTAGCAGCGTGCTCTAGCAATACAAGTTGCTAATTATCTTTAAAAAAAGAAAAATTTTACTTTGTATTTTTTATTATCTCTCTGGGAGAAGAAAGCTATGACCAGTATATATTTCAAAAAACATACTGTTAAAATTAATGTATCTAGTTGTATCTGATATTATAACACTGTAATTATTTACATGCAAATGAATAAACGCCATGGTATTTACCTGGACAATAGCACCTCAGTAGTCCATTCTGCACCAATATCGACGGTACGGGGAAGTTGTCAAAGAGCACCGTATACTGATCGGACGACTCTGTCCAAGGGCCCGCCACTAGGACCTTGGCTCCTCCTTCAGGGTACGCCCATTCGGGAGAATAGTCGGTGATGCTCAGAGTTCCTTCGTTGCTGCATTCCGTTTGCATCTTCTCACTTTCTTCGGCGGGGGGCGACTTGCCACAACTCGGCTGAAAATATGAAATGACCTTTAAGGCCATATCTTTATTATGAATATTTAGATTCGGAAAGAAATCATTGCTTTAGCTAAGCCACATTTTGTTTTTGAAAAGTTAACATCCTCACTCAAGATTCCAAAAACGTTGAAATACTTTTCTGGCATCAATTTCATGCAGTGTTAACCAGACTAAGTGGCTTGCAAAATATTTTGTTAAGTACTCAAATGTTTCATTATGAAAGGTGACATGACTATTATCCCTAACAAAACATAAGCAACGCATTTGCACGGGTACATCATGCAACCCAAAATGAGTTACAGTTACTTACCACTGGATTCGTTGATATTGAACTAGGATCCAATACCTCTAGTTCCGGAAAATCACCAAGCATATCAAAAGCGTCCAGATTCACAAAAACATTATCATCTACAACATGGGTGGGTGAAGCAACTGCCTCGCAGCTTTCAATAAAGTCCATGGTATCAATTCCTGAGACCATAACATTGGCCGTATCAGAAGATCTCACTCCACTCCTATTTAGTTCACACGAAGGCATATTCGCTGATAGCGTCTTCTGTATGTCTTCATGCGACAATTCCAATGTTTCATCGAAAAATCCACTAGACCCTAAATTTCCATCAGTTCCAAGTAATACTAACGTATCATCACAGTTATCTGTAAAAACCTTACTCTCTAATCGCTCCACCAGGTCAGGATACCGAGACGGCGTGGCCGGTGCGCTGGCAATCATCTGATTTCTAGTCCTAGGCTCTATTTTTATTTTTGTTTCAAAAGTCTCTACCTCTATTTTTTCTTCTACTTGACTTTCCACTTCAAAAGTGGAGTCTGAATTTTGACGACATGGAGTCGGAGTGTCAGGTACTTCCCTTTTCAGAACAAAAGTCGGTTTGTACTGCTGTCGGTACCTGTCTCTGGGTTCTTCACAGACAAATGACGTCACTGATAGAGGTGATACTAGGGAGGAATGTTGTTGTGTGGTATTGCTTGTTCCATTTAGGATTAGAAGACCACCGCCTCCTTGTATTTGACCTAGGGATAGAAGTAACGGTGACGCTGATTGTTGTGAAGTTCTGTGATCTCTGGTGTATTGTCTGGGAGGTTGGGACATCGGTCGCGGTGACGGGCCAGTAGTGGACGAGACGTGGTGGTCTGACGGTGGTGGCTTAGCCGCTTGGATGCGCCGCAGTGGGTGCGCGCAAGTCCTGGAGTCTTGGCAGGTAGAGTCCGGACAGCCGCATTCCAGTTGCCTGGCCAGGGCCGCGGCTCTGGCCGCCCGTTGCTTTTCCATCAGCTGACCGACGATGGCTTCCACCGTTTCCGCTGTCTGAAACATTTTTCCCTGCAATTTCATTATAATAGTACTGTTCAAGAATTTTCAAAAAAAAAGAATGTGGTATTTTATAGTTACACTTACTGAAATTTCCAGGTCGCTGTTGATGTCCGGCTCATCTTCGCTGAAAACTGTAACAAAACAAAAACACAAGTTAATTATTGAACCATTACTAAAGAGATTATAATTAATAACATGATTGTTTAATTGGATCTACGAGATTAAACCAGATAGCAATACAAATCTGCAATTTATAACGTCAAACTTGAACAAATGTTAATGAAATGATTATCGGTATTTACGACGGGATAGGATTATATCGTCCATTGAAATTCAATTTTATTGCTGATTTCATAAATATTCATGGAAGGCCGGGAAGTTTCCAATGTTTTGATTTAATTTCTGATGTTTTACTGTAATGAAATTTTGAAAGTTTGCACAGTTTTAATGTTCTTGTTATCTTTAAATAATTCATTAAATTATAGCAATCATTTTAAATTAACTACGTAGAATTATTATATTTCTAATGGGACTAGCGCGAAGGTTTGTAAAGGCTTTCTAGAAAAGTACCTAAGCGAATTAGGTATATTATTATATCTAGGCCCACGTAATATCGGTTGCCTAGTGCTTCAAGCACCTGAACAAATATTTTACGTTCCTTGAATACAAAATAAGGATAACTTTCTAAAACAAGAAAACATTAAAGTAAGCTAGAACAGATTTTACGATATGAACTCAAGATAATATTATTGTTCAGAGCAACAAGAAAATGATAGCAAAATAATATTTCAATTTAAATCTATCTTTCATATAACGGTATGCACTTTGTCATAACTAAAATGTCGAATGGGATATGTATTAAAACATTCGTAAGTCTGAGATGGCACTTGCACTAACTATAAAGATCATGCACCAGCATCAGATTAAATCTAATTTCGCTTAGATTTAAGAGCAAATATCTGTTTCACCAATAAATAGTCATTAACCATAACCCGTCCTGTCTGCCTTAAATCGACTTATCTTGTACAGCTGAAGTGACAAAGACGACTATTATCTAACGGTGTAGGTTTCTAACTAGCCAACTCGAAATATCCAAGGAACAGTTCGATCCTCGCCCCCACTGGAGTAATGTAGTAAACCCATCCTTGGCATAAACCAACTTAGCTTACCACGAGATCTTTTTTAAAATAGTTCAGTGCAGTGCAGTTATACTCACACATAGGTTTCAGCTGGCTAACAAGCTCGTCCTTCGTCCACTCCTTCTTGTCCGCCCACAGCGCCAGGCTCGGCGCCACCGTCGCCAGCTTGTTGTCGTCCGGGTACGGCACATTCAGGTAATGCACCAGGACTATGTCCGGGTTCTGAAAACAAGAAGCAGACGCTCTTAATCGGATGCGAGGAGGCTGATATTAGTGTGAGTTAAGACGAGATCTAAGACTGGTGCAGTTTATGGCTATGATGTCACGGAAATTGTTAATGTTGTGATCTGTTTCAGTTGGATAATAAGCAAAGAACGTTTAGGTTAAATTGTGTTTTCAAATAACACACTTGTTTAAGACAATCATAGGACCTACTTCACTAATAGTTGACACAAATATTGTATTTTAGAAGTTTTTATTTTAAAATGACGTTCAGATAGAATGAATCTACACTAAAATCTAATTCGCAACTTCTGATTGAACTAAATACCTATATCCTGATAAATATTAAACTAAAGTTATCACTGGCTTGAACTTATACCTACCTGTTTGAGTTTGAATCATTATGTCTAACATCATTTAATTTTCAGAACATGATCCACGACGATAGGGTTTTGGTAATTAATTGAGAAGGCAACAATGAAAGTCTTTATTATCTTAAAAAACCACCAAAAAACGATTTATCACTAGGATCTTCCTGCTTTGCATCTTCAAATAAATACGCAATGGCCAATAAACATGTCTGAACAGCAAAAGTGGCCATAAAAATTAACGTACGGCCGTACTTAACGTTTGCATCAAATTCGTGTTAACGCTCACTGACGCGAGGGGAGTTAGCACCCATTCATTACTGGATACGATTTCAAAAAAGGGAGCGCTGAAACGCATTTGGTACAAAAAAGGGAGAACTGAAACGCATTTGGTATGTAAAGGGCTATATTGACGACGTACTAATGACGGGGGAGGTTTTGTACAAGTAATGCAAGAAAACTGTTTTTAGTGGCATACAAAAATTAATAAGTACGCTTTATTTTTTCCTTAGCGCTTATTATACCTATTACGTTCAAATAATGAAAGAATGGTTAGTGATTGTTGAATGATAGAGATCCACCCTTTCCCACGCGTTTCAGGGTGCTTACCACGAGTTTACGTTAGGTGTGCTTGCTAGCGACTGCGTAAAAAAATGACATTAATTGTATGACATATTGTGCAGCGCCCCTAGCGGCTACTTTCAAGAAACAAAATCTTCATAGAGGTTTTTGACGTACTCGCTAGTGAGTACACTTAACGTAAACTCATGGTAGGTACACTGTAAAGAAAGACGTGATACTTCTGAGATCTCACGTGGACTTCTTAAAAAACACATTCTTGTTCTTTTTGAACCATTTTGTTTCATTTCCCTACACTCATGCCGTCAACGAACACGAAAGGTCGTTAGTTTCAGTGTGCTTACCATGAGTTTACGTTGGGTGTGCTCGCTAGCGACTGCGTAAAAAAATGACATTAATTGTATGACATATTGTGCAGCGCCCCTAGCGGCTACTTTCAAGAAACAAAATCTTCATAGAGTTTTTTGACGTACTCGCTAGCGAGCACACCTAACGTAAACTCATGGTAGGTACACTGATCATTGAAACCGCTCTCCTCTGCCATTGTGACTATAACAATTAAAGTCCGCAGAACTTTTTATCAGATTCACGTAAGTCCGGTCGCGAAGATTTAGAGCCTATTAATTACTGGATGCGACGCAATGAGCATTCCACCCGACTTGAAAAAGGGACGACGACACGACAGCACAGCACTCGGGTGAATTAGGGTTAACTGCGAGCCGGCGCCAAAAATTAGGTATTTGGTCTAGCAGTAAATAAAACACGATTTAAGACTTTGCTGAAATTTTAACTTTCGACAAAACAGTAATACTTTTTATATAATTATCCACGACTTGAAAAAGGGACAGTAACGACGCGACAGCACAGCACTCGGGTGAATTAGGGTTAACTGCGAGCCGGCGCCAAAAATTAGTTATTTAAAACACGATATTAAAGCTACCTACACTTTCACGATAAAAAATGCTGCTTGTTATTGTTATCCCAAAACTATTTTTTACTACTATTTTTTATTATAACCTTAAGGTAAATTGTAATTTTAGAAATTGTAATTAAAAGTAGAGCTAGTAATCACTTGGGGTATTCCTCCAACGTAAATTACTCGTAGCCACTTAAATAGGGTATGGCTTCAGAAAACTTTCACATTTGTTACACAATGTCATTTATAATCAACTCTATAAACTTCTAAGTCAACTAACAACTTAGAAGTTGCGGAAAACTTAGGTCGTAAACACGGCTTGTGATAACCCTAACACCAAATACCCGACGAGTGTGGAGCAATATGGGCATAGTTGAACCGCTGCGCTGGCTAAATTAGTTTTTAATTTTTATTGCAAGTTACACAAAGCATATTCTGTGGTTGTGTTGTGACCCACTAAACTTGTTAGTAACTTTGTAACAAACACATGAATTCTATCCATTAGTACATAGTTTCTAAAAAAATTAAATAAAGCGTTATGCTTGAAAGAATAATAGATGCAAATGATATAAACATAAGGTACATTATTCTATGTGGGGAGGATTAGCGATCAAACTGTGCTAACCCTAACGCCAAACAGTAAGCGGACGCTAAATCGACTCAAGCGCAGTTAAGCTACGTATAAAATAAGTAATACACAATATTTTAATTTTCAACGCGAAGAGCGAATGTAAAACGGAGTGCACCGTAATAACTATCCATTTGTCTTCAAAATGGCGGCAATAAACATGGCGCCATTATTTATGTAATGGCCGCGGGCCAGGGTTGCCACTCGACACGTGTGCTTTATTATAGTTATTGTGGTTTTTCATTAACTCGCTGTTAACATGTGAAAATGTTGTTAACACAAACTATATTGCACCGTTTTATAACGGTCGCCACATTGTAAGTTTCCGGCAAAATATTCGCATCTAGGTTTTATTTATGGCAGACAATAAGTCACTATTTCATACTAGGCAGTGGCTTTGATACGAGCTATGATTCCTAAAAACCTGTTTAATTAAACAGATTTAATTAAGGAATTGCTTACTAAAGAAAAAAGCAAGAAACAAGTGAAGAATTCCAGTTTATTTTAACATAGTTTGTTTTTGAAATTATTAATCCATTAAGTAGGCAGTTATTTATTCATTAGAGTAATTTTTTTTTTTGAGCTTCAAGATATTTTACAATATTTTCCTGAAATAAATATCAGATTTAATTTTTTCCGCTCTTATCCACAGAATCAAATTATTAAAAACATTAAATCACAATTTCATCGAACTCAAATTATAACGGATCGAAAATGCATCTACAATTCGAAAAGCTATTACTATGAATCATTCTGTGGTTTAAATCACTTTTTAAAAGCAAACCGATATTAATAGCGGTTTTAATGTGTTACTAGCGAATAAAATGCAGTTCAATTAGCAGATTTTGAGGTTTCCATTGAACTAAGTACAATAATATTTGTGTTAATCTGACACCAATCTCTATTATTTCAACAAGTCAGCTCTCATTCTCCAAGAATAATTTCGCACTCTTTAGAAATATGCTATCAATTCTAAAGACATTTAACCAACTTAAAATGGGCACAGCATTTATACAAAAAGTTTAACTGAGATAATTAGAGTGTTACTGTTTTTGATTTGTTATTTTTTATTTTTAGTTGATTCGAAATCTCTGCCTCAATCTATCTTTAATAAAAAAATTAAATTACTTCTAACAATAGTTTCAGTTTTAGAAAAAACAGGTTTCCTGTAGTCAGTGCCAACCCTATCGTTTTATTGTCAACTTCCGAAGTTTAGAATTAGTTTCATTTCGCCATAGCCGAGCTTAGAGCGACATAGTTTTGGCGACTGCGAACGTAAACACACAATGACTGTGCTTTCTCGTTTGAAATCCCTTTGTAGACATAGTTCAGGACGAAAGTCGAGCTAATAAAACATTGCGTATTTGGTTTGCCTTTTGGTAGAACATTATAACAAGTTGTTAGGTAACATCGGGTTTGTAAATGCTTGATAGTGGTAATATAAGTTTTGGAATATTTTTGCAAATAAAGTAGCCAATAGCCTGTAGTATTATTTGTAAGCAAGAATGATTAAAATCAATGAAAACAGATAAATTTTACTTTGTAAGAAAATAAAAATGATAAACGCATAGACGTATAATTTCAATAGTAGAATCTAGTTCTAATATTATAGACTTACATCTCCATTTCTTTTTTCGTTTTCATTTTATTAATTAAATATGGCGAAGTTGTTTTTATTTCGCTCTAATTTTAAAAATCTGCTTGAAATCTAAACCCGAAATTTCCATCAAAGTGATTCTCCGAAGGCTTTTATAATACACGCCCACAAAGCGGCGCGTGCCTCAGTTTCCTTCCAAAAATCCAATCACCTTTGTAATCTTATCTGAGAGGAAAAAAACAACATTCCTAACGATTCCGGGAACACCAAATAACGTTGACACCTGATACGTGGGTAACTTTGTGAAGCGGTACAAAATTAAATATAGGTGAGAAGGTGCATAATACATAACACTACGAAAATGTGTTACAAAATTGCTTCTATTTAACCTATTTACGAAGCTACAGTTTTTAAATGTGTTGCCGTTTGTAGAAGAAAATAAATCTGGTAAGACATTTGATGTTAGTTAGGAAATTAACTTGTTAACTAACGCAAAGATCAAAAATAAAACACAAATAAAATATGCAAATCTATATCTACTTAGATTTGTATGTGACACGAGATTCTTATGACGTACTTCTCACTTTGAAACATTTGAAAAAGAAACCTGGTGGTCTATAAATAAAGCTTTTTACAAGGTTTAGTTGAGGCCCATTTTGCGTCAATTTAAGTACCTACTTTCAAAATTCCTTGTTTATGTAACGAAGCAAAAAGGTATTATATTTTTATCAGATCAAACAAACCTACAGAAGATTTGGTACTTGAAACGTAAACTGAAACGTCTATATTAAGTATTGCCTATTACTTTCTTTTATATAAGTAACACACGCTATCATTCACTTTCGCCTTTGGGAGCCGTCAGCATTTAGCGGCCATTATATCGCTCATAATACCCGCATTTCCAAATGCCATCGGGCCCGCAGTGCCATCTAAAATGCTCGGCTAATTGAATTTCTGATTGGCCAAGTAACAGGTGTCAATGCATGAACGAACGGGTAAACAGTACACACAATGTAGGCATGCACTCGGCAATTATCGCTACGTTTTACTAGGAATGTGAATTGGATTTGCACTATTGTGAAATAGATAAATATCAAATTTTTATTGTCAAAATTGTATACTGTTGTGGTGAACCCACTAGTAACACAAGCTTTAGCTTATCATGAGAGGTTAAAGGAATTAAAAATTGCTATTCTTTAAAAAAAAATGCTTCCTGTATTGGTGGGATAGAGTTGCTGCGAGACCTGCTCTATCTAAATCCATGCATAGAAAATAACTAACTAGGTACCTATGTTTTAGATAAAAATCATTAGTTTTTCCTTTCACCTAGCTTCTTACAGATAGGTACTAAAATCATAAAACTACAGGGCACACTTACATTGTCTTGTCTTATTCGTAGATTTTTATTAAAACCACATCTTCTCGTCACACTACAATAATTAAAAACAGTTCACGTTTCTTAAAACTTCAAGATCACACCATTTTTCAACAACATTATTAACAAATAAAAACAAAAGTTTGCACGGAGGCACGTCTTCATTTGTTTCTCATTTTATTCATATTCGCAACCTCACGGCTTTTTTTCTAACCAGCCAGTGTTTTTTTTTTCTTTTATATATACGTATATATTTTTATTTGATATACGATTTTCTTTGACTGATCTTAGAGAAAATTGACATAATATTAAAACAGTATTTTTTTTATGGGCACGCACAGTTAACCGCTATCCATATAAGTAATAAAACCTCAAGGAAGTATTTTATACCACGAATGCCAATACCAGTTTGGGGCGGCCAATAAAAACTTTTACTTAGCGTCGGTGGTACTTTTAGGTCGTATAAATTGGAAAATTCCCGGTTATTCCATTAATATCGGAGCGATTCCGGGAAGATATATTACAAATATCGGTAATATGAGACTGCCAATCGCGGGAATGTCTCGCATTTCGTGATACAGATTTTCTTTTCGGCGTCGAGGTGGCTTGCTTGAAGTTGTGAAACTGAAAAATGTTGAAATATATCTCAAAGCGGAACGTATGAATTAAATTGAGATGCGAAATGGATGCTGAAAAGTGAAGCTGAAAGCAGGTTGGCTGAAAGAGATTTATTATAATATAGAAAACGCTCAGTCAAAACGGTTCTAATACTTTTAGAGAATATAAAGTAAGCGTATGTATTGCGAGGGTTGTTTGTGCTTAGTATTTGTACGTTTTGTGAGATTATTTTTTGACGTTTGGGAAAAAAATTTGTTTACTTAAGTAATTTTCTTCAAGATTCTTTTTTGTTCTGTTTACAATAATAAGTAGATATTTATCTATTCTATTGCAAGCCACTTTAACTGAGACCCCTTTTATCTAAAGCCTAGCTCAATGACTGAAATGCTAATATCAAAGAAAGTTCTTTAAGGCCCAATAAAACCTTTTAAATTATAAATAGACATGTCCTGGTGGACTTACCCAGCTTTTTTTTTCATTTTCACCATATTTTATCGCAAATTAAGTCCAATTACGACATAATATAGGTAGGGTCATAAAAAAGATTCCACGTCTATCATACACATAAATATATAAATAGAAGTGTTAAGATAGCTCAAAATACTCCTACCTGCAACAACCAGTAGCACCGTCGATGGAAGGTGGGCAGGATGGCGGAGTGCACGTAGCAACCGTAGATGCACTGAAACAAAAACACATCACGTTCGTCAATTGTCATTTTAAAACACACGTCACTTTGTAGGCGCACACCGTTGATTTTTAGTTGGCCGATAGTTGTGCCCGATTTTAAATTGTATGAAGAATCGGCCAAATCGAATCGGCGTAGTGTGCGCACTCCCATACATGCCCATACTGATCAACTTCCCGAATAAACTATCGGCCGACGAAAAATTAACGGTGTGCGCCTACTTTAATCGTTGTCGTTTTAACCAAAGGAAGTCCACTGCTGGACAAAGGCCTCCTCAAGGATTTCTACGACGACCGGTCCTGCGCTGCCTGCATCCAGGTGCTTCCCGCGACCTTTACTAAATCGTCGATCAAGTTTGTGGTTCTCACAAATCTCAAAAATACATAAGTGATTATAGCAATTGATCTTTATGAGTATTTCACCCCTCATACATGATACATCATCTAATAACAGGTAAGGATATAACAGGATTTTCTTAAAAAGCCGGGCCACAAACAAAAAGTGTGTATTATATTGTTCAAAAACAACTACTTTTCCGACACATCTGTCCCACATGGTGGGGTAATTTCATCTCCGAGGGAAGCTCTCCTGGCTATATGCTTCCATTTCTGATGGTTAAAGGCGTCACTAGTACACTGGACCATGGTGGACTCAGTGGCCTTTGTGATGGCGTCTATCCAGCGGGTTGGCGATCGACCGCGTGCTCTCTTGCCTTCAACGGCTTCAACCTCTCTCTCCATCGAGTTCTCATTTCTAGAAACGTGACCAAAGAACTTCAGTATTCGTAGTTGCACAGTTGATGATAGTCTGTCTTTAACACGAAGCTCTCGGAGATGAAATTTCCTCACCATGTACCTACCTCGTCAGCGCAACCACGACCACTCTGACAAGAGTGCCCGACTAAGAAGAATCTATCCCACACGATCTGAAATAATTAGTTAAGTAGGTACTTCCTTCTAAAAATTGTTGTAAGCAGATTGGCTATTCAACTGTATGTTTGCTTTAAATTTCGATATTACGTCTGTTGGGAATATTCTGTAATAGAGTCAACCCCTCGCTTATGAAATGTTAATAAGTTAAATCCCTATGAATATTAAATCGACGGAAATTTAGCGATTTCAATTAATACTTTTAATTATGAATGTGTAATTAACAAAGATTTATTAAAATATTGGTTACCTAAATAGATAAAATGTGGGTAAAAAATGTGTAGGTTAAAATTAATTTACGAGTACATACATACACATTCTAGTTTTAAATCTTGAGGGTAAGTCTAGATGAAACACGCTTACTTAAATATCTATTTACTCGCGATTTAAATTATTTACTTTTATTTTAAATCTTGTAGTTCATTTAAGGTTGTACATACAATTTTGTCTAAGTTTCACTGAAAGTAAGATGAAAAGTAAATAATAATCAGTAAGCATCTCATATCATTATGTTACATACGAGTGCTTTGTAATCAAAGCACTTTAAAGTTTATTCAGTAATCAATATCAAGGGTTAGCACATAGGTAATTAGTTGATGCCTTTACCTTGCTAAGAAAATTTAAGTTTTAAGCTATTTTCTAACTTGAAATATAGCTAACGCCTGCCACTATTAACTAACGTAAGCCTAAAGCTTATTATGAATATTTAGCTAACGGTGCCCGAGGTCACAAGTCCTCGTTACACGCTAATGAGCATTTAGTTAGACAATACTCGTAGTTTGAAATAACGAGATTAGCGTCTGGGTTCACTTAACATTATGGAATTAATAATATTATAATTAAAGACAAGAGTTACGTTGAAAACAGTGATGTTATTAGTTTGATATTACGTGTATATCATTATTAATTCTAAATATAAAAATTACAAACAAAATTATATGATTATTAATTTTAAATATATAAATTACAAACATAAATAATTATAAAACAGCATTGTGCAGAACGCACGTCCATTTTTTATTGCTGTACTCTTTTCTATTTTTTTGTATCTTGTGTATCAAAAATGTCAAAATTCCACTTGGACAATTAAAAATAGAGCCTACAAGTCAAATACATATTAAAAATTAAAAGAAAATAAAATTTTTGTACTTATGGAGCCTTCACATGTCTCATAATCTTTTTGCCATACCAGCGCTTCGAGTCCAACATTTGGCAAGTGTTGAGAAGAAGCGCCACGACAAACTTATGCCATCGCTTTGATCGACTATAAATCAAAGCTTTGGATTAAGTCACAAGTCCTCATTAGGTACACGCTAATAAGCGTTTAGTTATACAATAGTTTCAATTAACGAGATTACCGTCTGGGTTCAGTTAACATTATGGAATTAACTCTATTATTTTATGGACAATAATAATAATTAAAGACGAGAGTAACGTGAGAACAGTAGTTACTAGTTTAATATTAAATGCATAATTTGAACACATTTGTATTATACAAAGACTGTCGTAATTAATCATTGTATCCTACATCAAGTCAACCAAATTCGCGCATATATTTGAAACATTTTAATGTATTTAAATAGTAAATGAGTAAAATTCAATTAGTTAGAGACCAGATCAGCCTTTGATAAAATGATAAAATGTTATCGATGATTTAGACGATAAACAGCTTATCGCATAAAATCGATAAAATGGCACGATAAAAGCTTGTCGCGGCGCAGCTTAGTAAATTTATCACCCGCCGTGATCAAACAATACTTAGTCAAGTTTACGGAGTAATTTAAAACGCTTGTTGGTAAACACATTGAAATCCAATAGCTACGTGTAGTTAACCCGAGCACGGCTTATTCCATAGGCTAGCAGAGTGGCGCTTGCGTCTAGGATTGCGTTAGAGTCGGAAAGTACGGGGCACCGAAACAAAGGCCTGAATTGGCACCTGCGCTAACCTTGTTACACCCGCGTGGTGGCCACGGCTACCTCAAACTTGTATTACCGCTAGCTGCCCCGGCGAATATCGTACCGCCCATGTTTGTCAGAAATATGTAGAATTCTAATGGAGATTTTTTCAAATCGGTCTAGTAGTTTCGGAGCCTATTCGATACAAACTTCTTTCTTCTTCATATTGTTAGTGTAGAAGTGTAGGTAATTTGTTAGTTGACGACTCCTGAAGCATGGGGATGGACTTATTTATCAAACGTTTGAAAAATAGCTAGTAAACGTTATTTTAAGTAGTTTTTTTTTTTAAGAAGCACTGTGTGCTGATTTTAGTTTCCTCTTCCACATCATTTCTATACTCAGAAAGACGCTTTGCTACTTTTCCATAAATAGGTAACCCTTTTTTTCCTACGTATCTTACGGAAACATGGGTATGATGCATGCAGTCATCATCATCATTATCATCATCTCAGCCATAGGACGTCCACTGCTGAACATAGGCCTCCCCTAATGCTTTCCATGTTGCCCGGTTGGTAGCGGCCTGCATGCAGTATCTTCGCGAAACATACAAACAAGACAAGAATCTAATCTAAACATTATTTAATCTTTTTGATCAGAAAAATACGACTCTACAATTTAAAAAATATCTAACTGCATATTTTCACTTCAGTGGTTCAGCCGGTCTTAATAAAAATCAATATAATTTAATTTTCCGCAGTAACCCTATCTGGCGCCGGCCTTGCAGCGATATGGTTGGTTTGCCGTGGACTGGGAATGTGGCAGCCTACACAGCAAAGTTAGAGCGGACAAGGATATCATATTATGGACATTTGACTACCCATTTTTGGCTTTTATTACAAACGGCATAAGATTAGTGTTTAGCTTGATGAGTTATTGTCTGTCTGTATTGTCCGTAATTTGTAGAAGCACATATTTTTTCCTATACCTAATATAACGAGCGGAACGAGGCAACGATATGGTTACGATTGATAAATAACTGTCTTATGACTATTTCAAATGTTTTTTTGTAGAAAATCGTCATCAACGTCATTTAAAAAGAGTGAGATAAGCTTCAAAGTTATTTTAAGGCTCTCATTAACTAACTCACTAACTAATGATGTCTGGACGCGCAATGATAATTATTAATCTTTTGTGAGAAACTCTCCAGCATGCGCGCCGCGATATGCTTTTATTGCGCCATTTTATCGATTTAACGATATCGATAAGATTTTATCACGGCGCACATCCCGGCAGGGCTGAAGTGGCAAAGGTTAGGGTACATAGTTCGCAGAACTGACGGCCGATGGGGCAGCAAGGTTCTGGAGTGTAGGCCACCGGAAAACGCGGCGTGGGACAAGGTGGACCGACGACCTCATAAAGGTAACATGAAAGGCGCTGGACGCAGGCCGCTACCAATCGGTCAACATGGAAATCATTGTGAGAGGCCTATGTTCATCAGTGGACGTCCTATGGCTGTAATGAATGAACTCCATATAAATCAGCAAAACGCCACCTACCCCGCTACCGCCTATCCCTCATGCCACTAAAGCGGGCCCAGTTGTGCAGTATGTATTATTCAGCCGCCGTACGTGTCGCGGGCTCCATCGCCTATAGCAGCCTTTCCCAAAGTGGGCGATAACGCCTCCTTGTGGGCGTCGTAGGTCTAAAGGAGGGTCGGTAAGAGACCCAGAAAAAAATCGGGGCGTTGTGTAGAGGCTTGGGAGGCGATTTGTAATTCCATCTACTAGAAGGACTCTTAGACACCGACTGAGCTCTCGACTATAAATGGGGGCGCTAAAAAATAATTTATTGATTCTCAAAGTGGGCAATAGGCAAAATAAGTTTGGGAACCCCTGGCCTATAGCGACACGACACGCCGGGAAGGGGCCTACACCAATAATATTGGAGCCTTTTTTGCATCGCTCTTTGGTCCTGCTGCCAAGTTTTGGAGACTAAGCTAAGTTCTGCTAAGTTGATCAGTGCAGGAGACTTCGAGACAAACAGTGTAGGTATTTTGGATAAATATTAGAACAAAACATACATACTTATTTTACTTTTTTATCAATATCTCAGGGCTGTTAGAGTTTTTCAAGCATTTCCTCTTAATTCGCCTTATAACTCAGGAGTAGG